TTCCTGAGGCATCATGACTGGCTGGGGAATTCTGGAAGTTGAAGTCCACAAGTCTTATAGTTGCCAAGTTTAGACAACCTGGCTCTAGAGCCTTCGGACTAGTAACCACAGATACAAACAGAGGCTTTCAGATGAATATGTTCACTAGAACAGAAGTCCATTTATTGCTCTCAACTGGCCAAGGCAGCACAAGAGACAAAACCTAAATAATCTTGTAATTTACTGCAAAAGATTAATCACATTTTTGGAAATGGGAGTTACATTTTCTCTCAGTACTTCTTTGTGTACACACAAACCAACGCTTTTTCCTAGTGGCAGTGGAAGCTTAAATAAAATAACTCTCTTCTCATAAAAAGACCCAACTTTTCTACTGCTATACCTGAATGATATGTTTAAGAATATAAAACATCACTCATAAAGCAGGAAGTGCTAAGTTCAAATTATATAAATATATCTGCTATGGTGTTCAGCCCATCAAGAAACAAAAAGACAAGCGTAAGCTTTTTTTACTGGGAAAAAAATTACCATATCCTCGGCTTGTAGGTGGTGACTAAACTGAAAAAAAACTAGTATTTCCTACCAGCTAGAAATGGCACTACAAAAGACAACAAGAATATACATCTACCAGCAATTGCATTTTTCCAATTAGTTCCTATGTTTTGTCATGCTGACAAAAAACATTTCTTAGAGAACCAATGCTTGAAGCTTATAACTGAGAAAAAGCTATAGATCTGAAATTATCACAAAAAGGAATCATAATAAAGGACATCAAAGACACATCGGCTAAATATAGGCCAACTTTCATAGAAAAAAAGTATAAAGTGAACTGCTTGTTGGAGACTTTCAAGTATGTAACTCTGTAAATACTCAACCAAGAGGTTGAAAGTATTTAAGAAAAACAGTGAATATATGGAACCTATAAGTTAGCATGTGGTGCTTCCTTCCTTGAGGAAGAGATCAGAATAAAGCTGCTTACCAAGATGAGTCTCATGTCATGACAATACTGGTTCCTGTACTTGCCAACAATTATCAGTATTTTCCAACCTTAGGTATTTTAAGACTGAAACTTAAATTATCCAGCCAACTGAACCATTTCTCAATGAGGTAATAAATATGTGTTCAGGCTTCTTTAGACTCACATGATTAATACTTCTCCTTATAAAAACCCATAACCCAAGTCCTCAGCGTTAAGAAGCCTTGCCTGTGATTTTGTCACACATTACTAGATGTTTGTGGAAGTTGAATAAGTTCTGACAGCAGTTTTCTCATGAGGACCAAACAGGTGTGTACTGTATTATCCAGGCTTTGTTTACAGATACTTCAAAACATTGCAATTATCTTCTGCAAAACTCTGCTCTTTTTTCAACAAGACACTTGAATCCTGTTTGTCTCCACCCTGATTCTTGTTTCTATCCACTACAAGCTAGATTACGCTGCTACAAATAAAGAACTCTGGCTGGACTACAATACTCATAAAATCTTAGTTTATCTCTTACATGCCACCATGTAGGTGTAGAACTACTTTCATCTGGCTGACAATCAATTGCTATTTATACTGCATGCATGTTTCATCAGAGGCCAAAATAAAACTCTGGCCAGGTTGCAGAACCTAAAAGTTTTAGCCGTTTTATTTCATACTTCACAAGAACATCCAAACATTTAGAAGGAAAATGTCCCTTTTAATCCATGTCTCTGCTCAGTGTTAGCTCTTCTTTCTTCACCATCTTCTGCTTTATGCCTCATTTGCTCTTCTTCCTGCACTTCTTTCTTTGCAGCAACTTCAAATTCTCAGCTCCCAGCAGGCTCCACTCACACCCCATCCCCTGGTGTACCTGCTAGAGTGGTCACCAAGGAAATAGTTAATGTTGACTATAAGGAGTTGGAACTGGGATTTAATGCTGACAGAATTATCAATCAGGGTGCTAAGAATTGACATAATTTAATAGTGCTGAATCCTTAACATTCAGAAGAAAGTGATTTCCATGCAAAGGGATGGGCAATGACCATACACAATATATATACTCCCTTTCTGTTGGCAACACTAAAAAGACCATAGAAATATTTTAGGAGTTGACATACAGCACATAGACTGTATTTTATCTTTAGCAAGGACCATGATCTAACAGTGAGATCTGAGAATGATAAAAAGGTCTGCTTTAGAATTATTTGGCCAAATATTTAAAGTAGTTTTTGAACGAAAACTTTCATTTTGCTAACACAGTGTAGAAAGAGAATCCATAGATTTCAAGTATTCCGTTCTAACCAAACTGTTCCTGGCCCTCTGCCTGTAATTAGCCTTAATTCTAATCCAAGAGTTCCCAACCCATGGTCTATGGCCCGTTTGGAACCAGGCTGTGTGAGTGGCTTGCTGGCACGCATGAACATAGCTCAGCTTGTGCAAGTGATGGGCTGGGGTATGCAGTTCAACTTGTGCAAGTAGCAGGGCAACTCCAGTGCAGGGCAGGGATCCCTGTTCTAATCTTCTTCTCTTACTGATTATTATAGCATAACTCTTATGCTACAGGTACCCTACCAGAAAAGACAACACTGAAGCATGGGAAGTACCATTTTGTGGCAACCTAGATTACTGCCTCCATCTAGTATTTTAGGTGAACAATGCAATTGGTGACCCCACCACATAGCAAGATTTCCATTTTTAAAATTTCATCCCCCCCCCCGCCCCCGCAAGGTTTGGAGGTCTACAGTCTAGTTCCCCTGTTTGAAGGAGTCAACCCTGATAGTAATTTTTGCTTCTCTATAGCAAAACCAGGCACAAGGAATGATGGGCTGGCAGGATGCAAAAGATCAAATAGCAAATTACAAGAGCTTAGTTAGCTAGCTTATAGATAAGGTAAATATTCCTCTTAATTCTGAAAGCCCAGATCAAGGGTCTTCAAACTTGGCAAATTTAAGACTTGTTGACTTCAACACCCAGAATTTCTGAGCTAACATGACTGGAGGAGGAATTCTGGGAGTAAGTCCACAAGTCTTAAACCTGTCAAGTTTGAAGACCCCTGGCTTAGATAGAAGACTATTTTACTCTGTATCTTATAACATTTTAAAATTATAAACCAATATTTTAAAACCATAACTACAATTTACACTTGTATGAAATAAACACTTGTCAAGGATCAGATGTCAAACTGCACTTACTTAATTCTTAAGAGAAATACTTGCTAGCCATTCAGAATGGAACACTATATGGACCAATTAATGTGAAAGCGTGTGCATATCGTGCTAGACCACAGTTTAGCATTAGAAAGGGAAAACCTCTCTATCTAGTCTACGTCTCCTTGTTGTCTCTTTGTCCTGTGCATCCTACTATACAAGAAACAGGAAGGAGAGGGGTCTTCCAACCAATGATGTCACATAGCCCTTAGGAGGTGACCCTAGGACACTTAGTTCCTCCATAAGATGACAATTCTAATTTTGCAAGAATGTTAAAAAAAGAAACTTTTCAGAACATTTATTATAAAACCTACTCTAATTGCTTTTCACTACAAAAATTATTGGGCCTTTCACAGCAATGAATTTCAACTGCATTTGAATGCAATTGTGTATGAAATTTAGAGAAAATCAATACTGCCTAATACAAATCAAGAGATATAACTGATTTTAGCACATGTAGACTTATTGGATTTGGGCTGCAAAAATCCAAAAGATTATTAGATAGTAGCATATTTCTGCTTGCACATAGTGGTTATCTGGATTTTTGCAACCCAGATCTGCATAATTGGATCGTAATTTACTTCTTAAATACTTGGTATTTTGGGGGACTACTAAAAGAAGAGGCAAGAACAGCAATGGAGTTACAGAAGATTTGATCTCTTAAGAAACATTAAGCGTCTGAACCAAAAGAGGAACTCTCTTAGAATTCTAAACACAATTGGATGAAAACAATATTCTTTATATTCATATTCTTCATACCTGCAAAGGCTAAATTCTCCATCTATAGTTTTGTGTGTTGTTTTTCTAATTAAAAAGACTTCCCCCTCCTCAATATCCTATATAATAATGCAAGTAGCACAATTCTATTATGCAGACAACTTTTTAAAGTGGTTTCTTAATTCATTAAAAGAAAAATTATTTTAGAGTACATTTATCAATGGGCATGATAATCTAAATCATTTTAAATTCCTTTAGGCTGTGAATAATGTGATATCTTTTATTCTATGGAATCCAACCAGGGGTGGGATACGACCGGGTTAACTATTGGTTCAGGATTTATGAGCTTCCCTGCAGGCAGTGCGCCAGTAAATCGTCATCAGCAGCTGCCTGCAGAGAATCAGCCTTTGAAACAGCCCTCTTTTCTTGCTTTTCTAACTGCAGCTGTGCCTCATTTGGCAGCTGAAGTTGAAAATCAGGAAATAAAGATAAGGTAACAGCCCAGGTGGGTGGGTGGGCAAAAATATCAGCAGACATAGAACCAGTTCTATGTCTGCTGCTCTTCAGAGCTACTGGTTCTACAGAGGTGGACAGAACCGGTAGAAACCCACCCCTGAATCCAACTATTACTAACTAAGGGTTCAGGCTGAAAATTATCCCTTTATCTGCATAAAATGTAAATTCCAAAATCCTTGGTAATCTGTACCTAATCATTCACAGCTTCTTTAAACCATTCATGACATGCAATCATTGGCAGCTTTTGTGTTCCATATCAGATTATAGTCATTAATAAAATGAACAATAATTTAAAAACAATTGGCTACTGTTGCTTCTCAAGTCTGCAAAGGCAAACATTAACCATATAACCAAGAAATACTGGGATAAGGCAAAGTGGGCTTGAAATCTAATGCCTTCTAAATTCAATATCACAACCAAAGAAACATTTACATATGTTTATATAATATAGCTTGCTGGACTTCAGTGATTTTGATGTAAAGGAAAGCAAATAATTACATCTCAAGAGTCCAAAAGTGCTTTATTTCCGGTAACTTAAGAGGTTAAAATGCGCACTTTCTTCCTCTTCCTTCGAGGTCTGCAGGAGCTTGGCTTTTCAGATGAAAGGATAAAAGAAAGAGTCTCAAAACCTCACAAGGTTTCATTTTTCAAAATTAGCAAATTTGCCATAGGATATATTTACTCAAGCCCTAGAGATAAATATATTTGTCAGCAGGCAAGGAAATGCCCTTGTATTAAAGAGACAAGGAGAGCACTATTTTATTTATTACAACTTTGAGTAACGCATAATGAAGTATTTTCTGAAATAATTGCTCACCAAAAATAACAGAAACAAGTATTTCAGAAATATATTCAGACCACCATCTGCTTAAATATAAAAAAGTATAGATTTCAAGAAAAATAATATATAAGTAGTTATAATTACAATGATAAATAATTTCTTTATTGATATGTTAAAGACTTTGGACCTGCAGAAAGTAGTCATGTTATTTAAGTTCTTGAGTGCAAAAGCTTGCATTAGGTAATAAAAGCTATATTCCTGTGGAGCTGAAACTTTTAGTTATATGTTCCTTTAAATGTTATTCTCTGATCAGAGATCTTTTTAGTATTGCTTTAGTGATTGTTCTGTTTCAAATATCCTTTTGGCATAAATTCAGATTGCATATCTTTCATCTATAAAAGCTTACTATCAACCATTAAGGTTTTATTAATTGGGTCTTAATGAGCAATGCTATGAAAATTTATTAAATATAATTCTGTCTGGATTCCTAATAAGCACCTCCTTTTCTCCTTTTCTAACTGCAAGCAATAGTGTCTGTCAGTAGAGCTTCTCATACCCAAAATGAAAAATACAAATTGTTACTGAAGGGCAGAAAGCAAACTATGATTCTTTGCTGGTATCTAATGGTCTTCTGAATTTTTGCAGCCAGGGTGTGGCAGATTATTTGTAATCACTGATGTGTTTATACTTTTATATTCACCCATAATTCTTGTTTGGGTGAGTTTTCCACTTCTGTTAAAGTGGAATCTTTGAGCCTCTTTATTGCCTCTGATGCTAAAATCATTTTTTTATAGTTAAAACAACTACATTGCCATCCTATTCACCTGTAAAAACTTTTACTACTTGACCACTTCAGTTGACAAAATTACAGTTCAATTTATCAAGGCTCTGAAAGGTACTTGTTTTCTGACTAACTTTCCAAATATTTTAATATGTTCTCCTATTAGCATCTAATTCAAATTTATTGTTTCTAAATTCCCAGCTTTTTAAAAAGACACTTGAATGCAGATATAGGATCCCAAGACCAATATTTCATTGAACAATCTTCAAGTCAAAATCCAGTTTTGTAGCCTGCTATATATGAACTTCCAATCTGATGTGATTACATACCACATAGTAAAATAAAACAAAAAAATTACAACAATATTATTCAACAGCTTGGTAAGTGTTTGTCTTTTGTTTAGAAATACATAAACAGCAGATAATATTAACATTATTCTTTTGTAAAATGCAGAAAATGCATATTCTTCTATGCTAGCCTTTATACACTGAAAATCTTTAAATTTATAGCCAGTGACACGATGTGTTGAAACCTGATACAGACGTACTTTGAACGTCTGACATATATTTCAAAACATGCTTTCTGGGAAAAATTCAAGTCCTTATTAATGGTCCCAAAGTCAAGGTGCTTGACTACTGCAGACATATTCAGATTTCACTATTACTCTAATTTAGCTATGTGTTTCGAATAATAATACATGCCCACAGATAATCTAAGAAAGCATTGCTGCTTCTCAAATTAAAAAGGATTCTTCAAAGTGCTAAGAAAAAAAAAATCAGAGATGTGTAAACAATACCTAACAAACTACTACACAAGTATACAAAGAAAGCACCAGAAACTCTTTTCTATTTCCATCTCTTATTAATCAGTTTTTTTCAGACCTTTAATATTCTTCAAAAAACTCCTTATACAATAGATGTTATTACAGACAATGATTATACCAGACAAAAGCTGGTAGCTATTTCCCATTCAGTGGCGATTTATTTGGAAATACAACCATAAATTATGTCAAGATCTCAGAGCTGTTGGTTGCTGGATTTCATGTTGCTGTTTTGTGTGTGTGTGTGTGTGTGTGTGTGTGTGTGTGTGTGACTAAGCACTATCAAACAAAATGCTAAATGACTGGCTACCACTGTTTGTTGTCCATCTCTAATACTGGACAAATTGTATCTGATCTACGTTAAAGGAAGAATGCTTATTGATTCTTCTTCATCAAATTTAACAAATACTAATATTCATTCATTTGCACAAGGTTTCCAAGATCTGCAGTGGTTAAAAAAAAACATGATCTTTATGTGAGCTGACGATTCACAGAGTATATATAGCAAAAGTCACTGAAATGTCCATGGCTGTTAAAAATCTGTACCCTGTGAATACACAAAGGCCCAAAAAGGGATTAAGCAAAGGAGGCACTCAAGTACCCAGCTATAGATTTCCACAGCTATTAGTCCCTCTCTTTCACATTAAAGCCTCAAGATCAGAGGCCTTCACAAATAGCTGTTCATCAACTGATTCTGATTAAGTAAGAGATCAACATGTTTAAAACATAACAGCTGTAAGGTGGGCCTTTCAATTCAGAACATTTCTAAACTGAAAACGAAATGCCAAACAACACTATACCCCTTTATCTCTTTTCCCATGAAATGAAAAGTTTTGTACCTGTGAGGTTGACATGCGTGAGGTATCTTGTCGACCTGTTAAATCAGATGAGGAGATATTCACAGGGGCCCCACGATGCAATCGCATACTCACTTTCCGTTCTCGCTCCATTCCAGAAACTGGCCGAGGAGATGTATTCGCTGACCAAAAAAAAAAGAAGACGCTATCATTATCAGATTTTTTTTACATAGAAAAAAATGGCTATAAGTTATTCCACAGTTCTATAGAAGTTCTTGTGGGAGAACTTCCGGTTGCTCATCGTCGGTATCGGAACAAAATCCGTGATTGTGCACGGTTTCGCTTCGAGCTCACTTGTGGAGGGTCCTGACCGAGACCTGAACCACCCTGGAGGGGTGGTGAAGAAAGGGGGAATTGCTTGGAGGTTTGAGGGGAGTCGCAACTCCCTTCCCTGACAAGAAAAACCCCTTCCGAAGGCAAGTTGCAGTAGTGGTCTGAAATGGCCACCACGAAGACGAGGAGCAGTCTGGGAAACTAAGGCTGTGCTGGAGTGGAGAAGCAGCAAGCGGAGTGTGAACCAGGCAAAATTCATGGACTTTAAGGTACCCTGGTATCAAAAATAAAAGGACTATTTGGAGGAAAGTGTGCAGAGGCGGTGACCAGAGAGAGTGAGAAGGAAATTTGAACTTATAAAATTGGCTTGAACTATTGTAACGACTTAACTTGGAGGATAAAATTCAGAGGAAAATATTTGACCACAAAAGTTTTGGAAATTAAATTGGATAATTATTGGACTTTTGGTACTAAATAGGCATAAATAAATGCTGGAATTGAATGTGTTGAAAAGAAATAATAGCTAATAATTGAAATTAGCAAATTTAATAAAACTTTTATAATTAAAAAAAGAAAGCAAAGTAAAAGTGAATTGTGAAAAAAGAACCAAGAGCGCCACCTCTTGGAAAAATTTCAGTGACTCTTTGAAAAGAGCGCCACCTCTTGGAAAAATTTCAGTGACTCTTTGAAAAGAGCGCCACCTCTTGGAAAAATTTCAGTGATTCTTTGAAAAGTGCTTGGTCTTTCTAATAAATTGGACTTTGGAATTTAAAAGAAAGTAAGAGAAACTCCATCATAACAAAATAAAAACCCTGAAAAGTAATATCAAAATACTACAAGGGGAAAGATACTTGAAAAGATTGTCTTAGAACCACCTGGTGACTTCGGGAAACAGCTGGAAAAGGACCTACCAGAAGATCTAGAAATAAAGACTTATAGATATTAATTGTTAAAAATAAATATAAAAGACGCTGGTTGAAATAGCATACTGGATTTGTGGATTGGATATACATATTAAGTAAGAGGGGAAAAAAGGAAAAAAGGATCAGACATAATGGGGGAATTATTTGGTGAAATAAGATTGGATTTACAAGACATGAAGGAAATGATGAAAATGAGACTTGAAATGTGCAGCAATATATTACAGAAATTAGAAATGGCAACTCAGCTTGCAGAAGAACAAAGAAAACCAGAGGGGGAGGAGTTAAATAAAGAAGAAGCCAGCCTTGAAGTTCAAGTGGAGCAACAATCATTTAAGCAGGGGGAAAAAGGAATTAAAATTAAAAACTTGTGGTGTGATGTGAAAATAAAAGGGGGAATGGTTCGGAAAATGAAAAAAAGGGAAAAAGCAGAAAAAGGAAGTACAAAAGAAAGACTGAGAGAGGAAAGGAGATAAAATAAATAAGTGAGAAATGGAGGGGAATAATAATGGGGGAAAAGGGAATCAAGAGAAAGGACCAGAAAATAAAGAGAAACAGGAAGCAAACAAGAATGAAAATAAATTATATTGTTATGAGAGTGAGAGATAATGGGTAAATAAGAATAGGGAAGGAGAATCCGCAAGGTAATGTGTTGTGATATATAAGAATAAGTATTGAAAATAGACAAGATTGTAACTGATATTCTTTTTTCTTTCTTTTTTCTTAAAGGATTTATTGCTACATTAGATATGGAATTTAATGAAATAAATATGGAAATGGGAGTTTATAACAAGAATATTATATATTGATGATTAGCGATGTGTAAAAATATGAGAATTACTATGGAAAGATTAATATCAGTTGCTATAACTAATTGATTAGATTAATACATTTGTAATGAATAGATGATAAGGAAGGTGATTGAGAAAATGTTATGCGGAATCTGGTGCAAAATATGTGTACACATGATAAATTGTAAATAGGGAAATATTGTTATTAAGTAGAATGAAGGTAGTAAGCTCGAATTAACAACCAAAGGGGACAATTTCAATGCATGCATTTACAACACAATTTTGAGAATAACATTGGTGTAGGTGTACAAGAGAACTCTGAATAAAAGCACAGCAACCAGTGATTTTTGAAGTCTCTTCTTCTGTCTCAGTCATATGTTGTCTGAGTGACCATTTTGCTTAACAACCTGGTTATTGGAATGGAACTGTGCAACTAACCAAAGAATGTGTGTAAAATGAGAAGGAGGATCCAGAGTAACTTAACTTCTTTTGAAAACTAGTTAACTTCCTTGGCTATGATGATAAGATAAAGCTGCTTTAGCCTGCAGTTCTTACATGCAGGGCTGTGTATCTCAAAGGCATTAGGACAGAGGAAATTCCTAAATGACTTGGAGTCAGGTTAGCTAAAGGACCGATGCATAAACTTGAAAATAAAAATCTGAGATGCTGTTCTCTAGATGTCTTCTACAGTAAGTTCTAGTCACAACTTTAGAATTTTAGATCAAGTCCATGTTTCCTTATTGGCTTGTCTTTAGAAGAATGTTAAATATTAACTGAATGTTTTTAACTAGAGAGCTACGGAATCTATTGCTTATATTGTATAATCCATAATCCATTGAATACAATCCTATCACTTGAGTATTTACTGTGTTTTGTATTTTAAAGTATGATGTAATCTCCCCCTGAAATAAAATACCAGACTACAGTAAGCGTTCAAAGTATTACAGGCTCAAAATAGCCATTTTGAGCAATATAAACTTGGAACAAAACACTGTATTCAATCATCTATCCCAAGATCATTACAAAATGGGCATTTTGTGGCAAGTTCTTTCTGAGATGTCAAGAGATTGCCTTGTTTTTTATTTAAAATTGCTAAGTCATGGGGAGTTGCAGAATAAAGTGGTAGGAGGGTATATTAGTCCAGTTCAATCTTGTTTAAAAATTTCCCTAGTAAAAACTGCTGTTTTTAAATACTTGTGGAATACTTGCTTTTTCTTCAGGCAGGTTTACCGATACAAGAATATGCAATGCATTATGCACAGTGTTGTTCAACTGCTGACTTTTCAAGACTGCTACACATCATAATGCTTTGGATGCCTGATCTAGTGGGCAAGGACAAATACAATGCATATGCAGCTTTAAGTCAACAGGCAAACATAAGAGGGTTCCTAGCCCAAGAAAGATTTTATAGTGGAACATATTGCGTTTTGCATTGTATTTAGTTGAGATACACTCAACATGAAACATCCCAATAGGACATTCTGAACTTTTTCATTTTGCACAGCCTTTTTGCCACTGATCCATTGCATAAACCAAAAAGGAGATGATGCTAACATTCCTACAGCTATTGGCTCCACAACTCCAGGATATGAGAACTGAGGCTTGAGGCCACTGGCGTTGCTGAAGCTTTTTGCAGAGCTGGGGCTTGAAGCCAGTTGGGGCCGCTTGGGGCTTAATGCAGCATGGTGCTTGAAGTGGCACTCAGGCCAGTGCTGGGCCTGAAACAGACGCCTTGAAACAGTGGAAGTCGGCTCAGACTGCTGAAGTCTGTCATCATCGAGGAGTGCCATCTCCCTGCGCTTCCTCATGCCTCTTTGCAGGACTCCATCTTTCCCCCACCTGTAGCTCTTATCCACTGATCTGCCTGCCTGGAACTCCTGCCTCTTCCCATGTTGTGGTCATGGGAACTCCTCACTTAACATCCTGCATGGTCTTGAGATTAGATTATGACAGCAACTGGGACTCCTGGAATTTCAGTTGCTAAACTATGCAGTCATATTACTTTGTGCTTTACAACTGCATTGTTTAGCCATAGAAATACCAATCCCAACTGCCATTGTAACTCAAGGACTACCTATACAGCTTTGGAATGGGATTCTATTGGAGATGAGCTTCTATTGGAGATCCTGGCATTCTCTCCCACCCCTTCCCCACCCATGGCCTTTAGGAAGCTATTAAAAATTGAATTATTCTGAGATTTTCATGGTTTTGCTGACTTAATTTGCTGCACCATTTTTATTATTTCATTCTTCTGAATTTATTGTCATTTATAGTGATGATCTATATAGATCAGGGGTGTGCAAACTACAGCCCGTGGGCCACATCCGGCCCGTTGGTCTGTCCAATCCGGCCCGCCCCTGAAAAAAAAATAGCTGGGCGTGGCGTATTGCCCTGCGCCGCGTGGCCCCCAAAGCTGCAAAACAGTGCGGAGCGCTCTCGGGGTAGGAAAGAAAAGAAGAACTTTGCAAAGGCCTCGGCTGGGAGTTCGAAATCACCTTCGAGTGCGACCTCTCCGAAGGTGAGTCCCCGCCGATCCCCCTCTTTTTTCCGGGGCTTCCAGGCTTAAACTTTGCAAAGGCAAAGTTTGCAGGCGGGAGCGTCTTCCGGCCGAGGAGTGGGAAGGGTTCCGCCCGGCAGGCGGGCTGCTTGGAGCGGGCTGCTTGGAGCCACCTAAAGCTAGGCCGCTGCTGGTGGAGCCTTGCCCTGCCTTGGCGCCCCGTTTCCCGGCTTGGCGGTCCTGCTCGGGCGGCACTTTAAAAGCCTGCTCCCAGCACCCGAGCAACTTGCGGCTTCCTTTTTCCTCGTGGGCGCTCGCGCCTGGCCCCGAGCCACGTGGCGGAGGGGAAACCCGGAGCACCGCCGGGTCGCCTCCTCCAAGCAGCCCGCCCGCCCGCCGGGCAGAACCCTTCCCGCTCCTCGGCGAGAAGACGCTCCCGCCTGCAAACTTTGCCTGTGCAAAGTTTAAGCCTGGAAGCCCCGGAAACCCAAGCAACTTCCCAGCAACTTTCGGCTTCCTTTTAACTCGCGGGCGCTCGCACCTGGCCCCGAGCCGCGCGGCGGAGGGGAAGCCCGGCGGGCGGGCGGGTGGGCTGCTTGGAGGAGGCGACCTGGCGGTGCTCCGGCAGCAGCAACAGGCAGTTCCGCCTGGGCTCCGCTCAGGTGTCTGGCTGGGGCTGTCAGGAGTTGCTACCGCCGGCGCAGCTCCGTGCGGCTCCAGTCCCGCGTTGCCTTGGGAAGGAAAAGGCAAAACCAGGAGCCGCTGAGCCTGAGCCTCCGGTGCCACTGCTGCCGTTGCAAAGCACCGCCGCGGCTCTTCCTTTTTGCCTTTCCCTTCCCGAGGCAACGCGGGACTGGAGCCGCACCAGCGGTAGCAACTCCTGACTCAGGGGGCCTCCGAGGGGATGGGAAGGAGAAGGGGGGGAAGGGGGGGCGATTCCCAAAAAATCTTGTGCTGACCCGGCCCATCTGTCAAATTTTAAAAGTCAATGCGGCCCCCGAGCCAAAAAGTTTGCCCACCCCTGATATAGATGTTTAAACGATCATTTCACTATACTCACTGTCAATTGCCAAGACTGGATTAATGTGGGGTATTAATTCAATAATTAAGCAATCAGTATTGCGCAGTTTCTTCAATGAGACTATGTTACTTTTGGAAGCAGCTTCTTGAAAGCTTAGAAGTGCTGCTTTGCAGCTCTGTCTAAAAGTCCTGGAAGCATGCACACGCAGAAGACCTCAGGCAGCCATGCCATCAAGCAATCCCTCAAACCTCTCATCTGCTGTTACTGCTCTGTCCTGTGAGGCCTAGTGGGATACTGCTAATGTGAAGTGCCTTGAAAAACCTACAACCTTAATACTAAGATTTTCTGCTAATATTCATCATAGAAACAGAGAGATAAAGATGACACAACACAAGTGCCTCCTTTCCAAATACAAGCATACAACTTCCCCTCAAAGAACATTAGAATGTGGGAAGTCTTCCTAATGGTACTATTTATGGGTAATATAAGGCTGGAACAATAGTATTAAGTAACAGCATTTAATTTAAACAGCATTTAATTTAAATGTAGGTGACCCAGATTTAAAATGCCATGAAAACTTATGTCTTGAATGTTGGCTAAGGGCATTAGTCAACCTAGACATTGTTCTGGAAGCAGGAGGAGCAAGAGAAAAACAGTTTGTACAATGAAAATAATTGTGGTTTGGTTCAAAAGTGCCTCAAAATTTTGCTATGCTAGGTATAAATGCCACATTGTAGTATAGTTAGACTAGAGTTGAGGAGGCTTTGCTGCAAATCTCTGATCAGTTAGAATGTTCACTGGGTCAGTTTGCAACAATTCAGGGTCTCTCAGCCAAAGTTATCTCACATAACTGCAGAGAAAAATATGGAGGGAGAAAAAGAAGAAAGGTAGAATGATCCCTTTCTTGGAAGAAGTAACAGAAAACAAATCTAAACATTGCTTTTTCTTATAACTATCAATTTTCCCATTTCTTTTCTTCAAAACAGTTTTTCTGAAAATGAGATTTTTCATTTTTGAAAAAAGAACTAGTACAAAGCAATTATTATTTAAGGCTTCTTCAGCTTACCTGTATGTGAAGTTGGAGTAAGAGGAGTTGGTGGAGCTACATCTTGTGTCCCTCTTAGCCTCCCAGAGGCAGTGGAAGGTAATCCACGAACAGCTGGATTGCGTGTATGTCTCATTCTTTCTTCTCTCTCTCTTCTTTCACGCTCAGCATCTTCTACTGCTCGGCTTGCACCCTTCAACAAAAAACAATTACCATGACTAGTAGTTGGAGATAATGCAGAGCAGTCATAGTAGTAATTATAAATGGATTGTCCAAACTTGGCAACTTTAAATCTTGTGGACTTCAACTTCCAGAATTCCTCATGCTGGCTGGGGAATTCTGGGAATTGAAGTCCACAAGTTTTATAGTTGCCAAGTTTGGAGACATCTGTTTTAGAATACGTTTTTGATTATGCTGTTAAAAACAGCATACATTTGTTTAGATGAGTAGTTTCAAGGTAAAGCCCATTTGGCTGTTCTTATTTACATTATTCAACAACTCATAGATAATATTTTGCCAGAACTTGTTCAAATCAGATGCTGATTTAATAACTGGCCTTGGGCAAGTTATTTTATCAGCCTTATTTCTTTAGTTCTGCAATAGACCAGGAACTAGCTAGCCAATTTGGTCTAGTGGTTAAAGCACTAGCTAGAACCATAAGATTGAATTCTAGTGCCACCTTTGGTATGAAAATTGGTTAGGTGATGTTGGGCTAATTATCCAACCTATCTTACGGCATTATTGTTATGGGGAAAACAGGAGGAGGAAGGAGTATTGGTTTGGCACCTTGTGCTGTATATGAAAAAAAACAATGGGATAAAAATCTAAAAATAATTTAATTGGGATGGTGACCTTTAATGATTAATAAATGAAAGATGTATCAAGTCATCCCAAAACTACAGAGAACTGGCACTTTCAATTTCTCTCTTAGCTGAGTTTTCTATGATACTTTCAAGAGCTAAAGGCACTTAAGATAAAAGGAACAGAAATCTGATCTTATGATCCTGCATTATGGGCAAATATTTTGCAGGGAACCTGAATTGATCTGATATGCTGGGACTTCTGATCAATGACAGTAAGTCAACCTTGCAAACAAATACTCAATATACAAACGAAACATGTGACTTTCAGGTAAAAAGGGTTAGACGATACATTTCAAATGAAGGATTCATAATAGCCAATAGAGAATGTAACAATTTTACTTCTTAATTCCTTTTTTTTTTTAAAGCAAGCAGTCATAGAAAGATAGATTAACTGGAAGCAGTTAATAACATTATAAAAGATTGATTAAAAGAAACCAGAAAATAGAGCAATAGTACTGAATACTACAGAAATGACAAAAATATTACAAGTAAAATCTTTCATTAAATTTAATCATCAATCAATATTACCAGATAAAAATGCACTGATCATATATAGTATATGATGAATTGTTCTCTTTCTCTACAGCAATATAATGGGTGGTGGGCGAAGACTGAGCTCTGCACTTTAAAATCTATTCAGGCAGAATGAAAGCAGAAAGGCCCTAGTTTGATTATTCCGAAGAAGGAAGGATGGTGGAGAGGGGAATCTTGATTGAGATCTAATGCAAATTTCCACTTTGCATCAAGTTTTCATCTTGGGAAAATCTATAAGTACAGTGAATGATGATCCTTATTGGTGTTAACTATAGGAATATAGACCACAGAAGATTTGGCCATTTGTTATTTCCTAATAGCAGCAGGATCTTCCAGGGAACTCAGATGGATTCAAAAGGGGCAAAAAAAGTCTCAGACAACTTCTGAGGCATTATACAAATTCTAGAGAAAGATGGAGATAAAGAAACTATGGTAGCTTTGTCATCTATCCTACATTTTCCCCAGCATATGGCTCACCAATGGGACAAATGATTATGAGTCTTCATATATAGTAAAGAACCTATTATGTGACCTTTTGCAAAGTACAAAAGGCAAAGGCTCTGTCCATCTGAAAAAAGATGTTCCACTACTATAAATTTGTGGAATGGGGTCTTCGAAGTCAAAAGTACTTGTTTTGGAGGAGAAAGACTGTAAACAAGAAAGGCTTCATGCGCTAAAAGCACAAAAGATCTGAAACTGGAAGATTTCCAGAATTGAACATGATACTGCTCTTGTTGATGTAATTGAAAACAAACTGAGGAGAACAAGAAGGAGCCAAGCCTAGTTATAAAGGCTATATAGGTAGTCTTCAACCTACTAAAATTGAGCCCAAAATTTCCATTGTTAAGCAAGGTATTTGTTAAATGAGTTTTGCACCATTTTACAACATTCTTGCCACAATTGTTAAGCAAATCATTGCAGTTGTTAAGTGAATCATGTGGTTGTTAAGCGAATCTGGCTTCCCCCATTGATTTTCTTTGTCAGAAGCGAGTAATCACATAATCCCAGGACACCGCAACTGTCATAAATACATGCCAGTTGCCAAGTGCTGAAATTCTGATCACGGCACCATGGGGGTGCTGTAACAATCCTAAATGCAAGGACCAGCTGTAAATTACCTTTTTTAGTGCCATTGTAACTTTGGTCACTAAATAAATGGTTGAAGACTACCTCTACATTTAATACATGGTTCCTGTGAAAAACTGTAAGTTCTAAAACATTCTGAGCAGGCCCAAAAGCTGTATGTGCAACACAGACACCACAATGCTGCATTATATTTCATTAAATTCATCAAGTGAATTTCACCATAAGAATTAATTTGGGCTTTGAAGTAACAGTCCTGTGATACATTGCAATGAATCAAAAACAGTCCAACTCCTTTTTTGGCATTCCCAATTTTTGACAACTAAATACTTACAAATTTGAGCATGTTCCAATCAAATACATAGTCATAGGAGAAGCCTTGTCTATGGAAGAGATTTCTGAATAATTGTCTTAGATATGAATAATCCGGTTTGTCATCAAAACGCAGCGAGCGGCAGAAATTCAGATAGGTAGCAAACTCAGCTGTAATGAGAACATATGATTATAAGAAGTAATTATTTTCTTATATTAGCAAAAAATCAACGTAAACAAAAGGTCCACTGCAAATGTACCAACACATTGTACTTCCATATTTGCCTTAGGATTTGATGAAATTATTGGGGTGGCTGTTCCCTTGAACTAAGTGACGGTTCTACCCATTCTGTAATTGTGATGGAATGTGCACCTGGAGAAACCATGGAGGGGAGTCTTGGCAGCCCAGAGCTTTCCCAGGGAGGAGACAGCACATTCCAGAGAGAGAAGCCCAAATTAAGAGACTGCACAGTCCTGGGCTGAATGAGTAAACAGGGGAAGAGGTTCAGGGTATGTACACCCCAAAATCCCTCGGGATATACAGTACTGTGCAAAAGTTATAGGCTACCACCTGTTTGTTTAGCAAAGTGATAATGACCATCCATAATTATTTTTTGGTCTCTGAAGAGCTGGACAGAAAAGACAGGAAATAACCTACACAAAATCTAAACAAACACAATTTTCAGAATAAAATGACTTCTTCAGGCAAAAGTCAGTATTTATGTGATCTTCCTTGGCTCTAAGCACGTCTTGAATTCTTTTGAGGAGACTGTCCCAAAGTTTTTTGAGGTAATCTGGCATATTATACCAGTGTCTTTCAGCCTTTCTCAGAATTCTTCAACTTTAGGTTGTCTTTTACTTCTTTCTCTGTCCAGGTGATCCCACACTGCCTCTATAATATTCAGGTCTGGACTCTGGGGAGGCCAGTCCATGACTCTCAGTATTTTTTCTCGCTGTTTTTCTTGCTAAATGTCAGCTGTTTTTCTCGCTAAATATGATTTCACTGCAGCAGCATTGTATTTGGGATCATTATTATGCTGAAAAATATACCCATTGTTAATCAGGCGCTTTCCAGAGGGAGTGGCATGATGAATGAAAATTTGTCTGAACTTTTCAGCATTTCATGATCCCATCAATATGGATAATATACCAATATCACTGGCAGAAATGTAGCCCCCCAAAAGGATAGACCCTCCACCTGGTTTCAAAGGCTGCAAGCACTCATTCGTCCATCTCTCGCCAACTCTTTTTCTCACAGCTTGTCAATGATTAGACCCAAACTTGGATTCATCATTCCATAATACTCTTTTCCACTGCTCCTCACTTTAAATCTTTGTGAGCTTTAGCATATCTTATCCTTTTCACCTATTCCCCTTCTACAAAAATGGTTTTTTGACCTTCTACCCTTCCACAAAGTCCATTCCTGATCAAGCTTCGCTGGACTGTACAAAGGCCAACTTGGCATCCCGATGAAGCTGCCAGATGCTGAGTCAGGTCCTTGCTGCACTTCCTTCAATCTCTCAAAGAAGAAACTATGAGGAACTTGAATTTGAAAGTTTATTTAGCCTTACAGTCCTTTTTTTTGTCCTTAACCTCTTTACAAAGCTTGAATATCACATCTTGGATATGAAGTTTGTCAATTTCCCTTTGGGAATGGTTTTCGCTGAGACAAAAGCATGATTTTATGTCTGTCACACTCGGTGAGCTTTGGCATTTTGACTGGAATGATGTGATTGAAAGTTGGGTTTTATTAGCTATTTTCCAATGAATTACACTCATACAACATGTGTATGTACCGAATGCTCGAGCACGTCTTGTAAAAACCTGATGTAATAGACTTTTTGGCACAGCAGTTATTTTGGCATGAAATAGTAGGACACAAACAGGTGTTAACAATAATAATATTTAGGATTTCATTCTGTTTAGGTTTACAGATCCCATGTGTCTGCTGTTGCTCAAGTGTAAAGGGAAGTCACGCTACATACTTGCCACTTTCACCTTTGGAAGCTTTTTTTCTGCTTTGTTCTGTTTTTAAATACTGGCATACAAATTTGCTGTATTTTCTGGTTGTATTCTAATAAGGAGACTGAGATATAATTATATATGGTCATTATACCAACAACATCATACCAAAAACAAAGTTAATGGCCACCAATGTCCTAACACTTAGCATGTACTGTATTTATTAGGCTAAAGGCTTATAGTTTTACTTGACAAGTTTCTGTCCTATAGGTGTAAGCAAATGGAAGGACTTGACTTGATTGGATTTCATTGTGTCATTTTTGGGATTGGACCTGACAGTAATTGAGTGAAAGAATATTCTTTCTTTTGCAAAATGTACAAGTAAGGAATCTACCCTATACAGTTTCAAATGCTAACATTATAAGAATATTCTTAAAGAACAATTTTACAAAATGAGCAATGCAAGTGGATTAAGTGCTACTGATCTTCAAATTTAGCAATACAAAAATGCAATCAATAAGAAAAATACTTGTTAATGGAGGGCTAGCTACACAGTGAACTGTTTGTTATAAGGAATGAGTATTTTATGCAACTAAAAAACTATGAATGAATATTATTCTCTGAAACAACAAAGGGAACGAAGGGAATAAGTTATTTAATAGCCAGTTTACGTATATTCATTAAATTCAGGGATAATTTAGTTAGTTCCAGAATTATTCCTAAAATAGAAATATAGCAAAATATGTGACATTACATCAGCTTCAACCATAACAACACAAGAGCACACAATAGATACAAACTCAAGGTAAACCATTTCAAACTTGATTGCAGAAAATATGACTTCAGCAACAGAATGGTCAATGCCTGGAATGCTCTACCTGACTCCGCTGTTACAGTCTCAAACCCTCACAGCTTCAATCTCAAACTGTCTACTGTGGACCTCACCCCATTCCTAAGAGGTCCTTAAAGGAGGCATCTATAAGCGCACTAGTGTGCCTCCTGTCCCTGTCTTATTGTCTCCATTTATCTGTATTTACTTCTTTTGTTCATGTTTATGTTCATACCTATACTTGTTATTATCTTGTACATGTTTGACAAATGAAATAAAATTAAATTAAAACAAGCATTACTATAAACTTCGCTTTAAACATAACATAAAGAAATTTATTCTAGAGAGGGAACTTACAAGGGTATCCTTTACACAGAACCTCAATGGGAGTGGACATTTTCTTTTCACTGATGCGTTCATATTTCTGTCTCTTTGTAGCTGCCTTCAATCCCTGCCAGGGGAGGGAGCCCAGGTTAAAATACATGAGTACATAGCCCAAGGACTCCAAGTCATCTCTGCGAGATTGTTCTACAAGGAGTATAAGAGTGGAGTCATTAGGTTCTATCATTTGGAGAAACAGTACAAAGATGTTTAAAGCAACAAGTTATGTAGGCAAGATTTTAAAGTTACAACTTAACTACAAGAAAAACACAACTTTATAGTTATTTTAAGCATGTCAGTAAATAATGTTGCCAAGATCAGAGAACTGGTGCATACAGAAGTAAAAGCAGAAAGCTAAGGATGACTCAGACAATTGAGACAAATCACCATCTGCAAAGTTTATCATTATTCTTTTCAACCCAGAATGAAATACCAAGGTATTCAATAACTCATCCAGGAAATGACAACTTATATAAGCTTCATTTGCAAAGAAATGTCTTCATTGTTTCATGTTTCTATTCTCTATGGGAGCTTCCCTCCTTTAGACAAACTCCCTGAAATAAAAATGCCCTCTACTGTCATGGCATTCTGGAAGCAGGTAAAAAACCTGGCTATACTGGAAAGTTTTTCATAATTGACAAACATGGAAACGTAAGTGCTAAACTTAAAATTTGCATTTTGTATTACTATTGTTAGTTTATACTCTTAAATTTTACAGTTTAGAATCCACCTGAACTAAGGACAAGATAAATCCCATACAAATCAATCAATGATTCATCTATCTAACCAATTCAATTAGAAAAACACCATGTTGTTTGCAATGCACTGTGCTTTAAATATTAAATGTGAGCTCATAATACACAATATCTCCTTTCATGTATCAGATAAGTTATATATTTTGATTTTTCTGTGACTCTTACTCTATGACAATTTAATTAACAGTTACAAAAATCTACCACCAGCTCACCAATTCCAAGATGGGTATTAATGGAGGCATAGCGGGCAGTTCCCGTTAAGTTTTTATTTTCACGATAAGGAATATGCTGGTGAGTACGAGCATCGCGATATTTCTTGGCCAGCCCAAAATCTATGATGTAGACAAGGTTGCCTTTCTTGCCTAATCCCATCAAGAAATTATCCGGCTTTACATCTCGGTGGATGAAGTTCTTTGAATGAATATATTCTATTCGGCTTATCTAATTGTAGAAAAACATAATTCCAGAATTAGTAAACATGAAATTCAATACATTTAGCTGTTCCATTGTTCTGAATAACACTAAAATTTCTATTTTGTTAACATTTAAGTTTAAACATTAAATGAAGTACACTATTTTATTTATTCAATTGATCTTTACCTTCTAAGAACATTTTAGAAAACTGATGTTATTTAAAAGAGCGGTTGTGATCTCACTGAATAGGACTTGTGTTTGAAAATGTAAACTGTAAATCATTATTTAATTTATATATCACTAACTACTAGCTGTAACCACAGCATTTTTTATCACTGCTGAACAAAAAATGCTAGTTTTTGTGTGATGACATTCATAGAAAGAAAAGCTAATTTGTAGTATTTACAACACATATTCAGAGAAAGTGCACATAAACATAAGTAGAGTGAAGCTTTTAGGAAACTCTAATTTCCAATAGCCAAGAAATACAATGATTCTAATACCATTTGGTCAGCAAGTAGAAGAACAGTCTTGAGGCTGAATTTCCTTGAGCAGAAGTTAAAGAGATCTTCAAGACTTGGTCCTAGCAATTCCATCACCATTACATTGTAGTCACCTTCAGCACCACACCATTTGATTGTGGGAATGCCCACTAGAATGTGGAAAAATAGATTATTCACAGCACTTTATAGAAATCACAATATAGATCTGATATCCAGTGAAAATCAAGGTGATGCCTTCACATTTACTTTAATTTATAACATTATTTTTCTTTTCTGGAAATTACTAATACCCTACATTCATAATACACGATCCTTTCCTCAAAGCACATTCAAGAAGGAAGTCAAAAATTAAAAGAGGGCAAAAGCTTTATCATAGTTCTTTGCTGGCCAAATCATATAAAAATTTAATCTGTCAAACTGAAATGTAAGAAAAAAAAATGGAGGTTATTATTTGTGCCAAAATATTTAGGTATTCAAAGGAATGTTTACAGCAGCATTTTATTTAGTCTTTTTGTATAGTGTTCTTCAAGATATTATTTATTGGGATACAGAATATGCAAAAACTTGTAGCAGGAAACATACAGCCTCACGGATGCTTACTTTAACTGAATAGTTCAAGTGTGGAAAGAAACAGGCTCTGACTCTCTATTTCTCCTATCTTCAACGTGTCATGAAGATTTCCAGGGAAGATTTCCCGTTTTTTCCCCAGCTTTAAAAAATAAATCAGTGACTACTAGCACAAAGCAAAGCAAGCCAGTGTCATAATGACTTGGGTTTTTTTTTTCTTTTTATATGTATGCTTAGACAATATCATTCCTTAATAATAACAATTTATGAAATGTGGGGAAAATACAAAGGTAGAAAATATTCAGGTGGTATGGGTAGTGAAGACACTCACATAATAGCACTGTTCATATAAGTACCACTCTTTATCAATTTGAAAGACGTCAAGAGGTGAAATATTTGTGCCTGCATGATTCTTGAGGGGGGAAAATGCTTACCTCCACCTTGCATCATTTTGTAAATTTTGCTCTCTATGTGGAGTTGAGGATGTTTGGTTTTGACACATTCCAATTTGATGGCAACCTCTTCTCCAGCAGCTATGTCAGTACCTTAAAAAAAATAACTCAATGTTATAATTCAATACGTTGACAAGCTTTGACCGAGCTTTGCTATTAGGCATCTGATCCATAATTTATTTGGTCTAAAATCCAGCATCCAGCAGGACTTGCAGAATTGATACTATGAGAATCCAACTATACCCTACTAAAATTCTCATTGTCTTTATCTGTTTGTCCCCCCAAGTTAGCCAAAATGGTGCATTATAGTACAAGCAATTTTTGAATCAAAGCACCCAACCTCTGCTAACGTAAAAAAATGTATAAAAAATCTAGGACCCTTAACTCCTGTGCAATTGAAATTTCCAGGATATTAACAAAGGTTTCATTTGCAAAGTTGTGGCTGCAACAGTGTCTCTGTAGTTATGTGATCTGCCAACTTCCCACAAACAAACTTAACAGGGAGGCTGCTAAGAAGTCAGAAGTCACTCCCATTCTCACTGCATTTCCCCCCACCTGTGGTCATTCTCTTTATTTAGGCAAGTAAATACCATCCTGCTCTGGATATTTATTTGCCACTACAATAATCATTCTATTTGGGATATATATTCTTTTTAGATGACTACTGATCTGGACAGTATTGGAAATATGTTCATCCTAAAATTTATTACTTTGTCTGGCCACACCATATTGCACTACTTTGTCTCAAAGGATGACTCAGTGGGTCACAGTTTGCCTAGTACAGTATAAAAGCAAAAAAATAAATGAATCTACAATAGTAATGAATGTGCCACATGTGCAGACAGCTTCAACTGTTGTAATATTTCCAAGAGTGAATCAAATTTCAAATGAAATTGCACCTAAAGTGTTGTTATGGCTTGTATAACTTGTTACACAATTCCATAGACATTTCCATGAACATTCTTTTCAGTTAGTTGAAATATCAATCTAGCTGAATAAAAATTAGTTTTCTCTCTGGCCTGATTCAATGAACAACTTTCAGGATTGCTCTATGGGAGATAAGCAAGAGTTCCTTTAGGTTTACAAGTTTATTCTTATAACAACCAATAGAGAAACCCAGCTGAACGTATTTTCCTGTTTTATAGATTTAAATGCTGAAGAGCCAGAAGATAACTCCCCCAATAATAGCTGTTACCACATTCTACATGTTAATTTCATACTAGACCTCTGTTGATCAGAATATTCTAATGATGTAATAAAAGTGGTCAAACTTCTGTCAGGGGAAAAGAAAATATTTTTGCAGTATTTCATTCTGTCTGTTATTGTGTAATATCCAAGTTTGCAGTAATAATTTCTATGTTTGCAATAATATATATTGCATATTTGCAATAATATTATCCATTTTTGACTTATGGTTTTTATTTTTGATCTATTGTCTAAAATAAATGAAATACAGACAAGATTTTATTTTCTGTTGTTCTGTATCTAATGATTGCATTTGCATATCATGCCAAAGTAACAACTGGGTAGGTTCATATAACACATTAAGTCACTAATGTATGTTGAAACTGTTACAGTAGTTTTATTTTTAAAATTAACTCAGTTGAAATTATAAAGAGGCTATCTTCTTCCATTAAATGAAATATAAACAAAAATTAATGTGACACCCAGAATAGACAAAACTACAGATTAAAATCCTATTACCTAAAAGTTTGAAATGTGTGAAGAAAAAGCTTTAAATACAAAATGGTAAACACTGTATGAGACAAAGGCACTCAAAATCCATCATAATTTCATTATGAGCTGAGTAACCAAGCCATCATGATTTTTTCTCACTGAAATCAGTTGGACCCCAAGTTTAACTAAACTATGTATGTATCCAACACATTTTGTGAATTCATAATAGCGAAATAAAATATCTGTAGATTTTGTTCTGATTCCTATGTGATCTCAATAAATTATAATATAGGTAGGCCTTGGATTATAACCATTTGTTCAATAACCATTCAGTTATGACATCACTGAACAAGGGATTAAAGGTCTGTGAAGTTGTGGCTGTCACAGCATCCCCAGAGCATGATTTGAACAGTTGGCAACTAGCTGTCAATTATGATGGCCACAGTATCTTGCAGTCACATTATTGCCATTTGTGATGAGCCTTCCCTCAAGGCTTCCTACAATCAAAATCAATAGGGAAGCTGGCAGGAGGTTGCAAATTTTCCCCTCTCCTGTCATTTTTTTTCACCTGCCCACACTCCATAACACCAGTCTGCAGCACCTGCCAATCCATGCTCTAAAGAACACCCCCCCCCCATGGCATCTGTCCGCCTGGACTCCATTTTGTAGCCACCCATTCAGGCATTCTCCACATGACATCTGTCTGCCTACTTGTAGTTCTTGCCTACCAGCTCGTTTGCCTCGGACAGTCCAAACTGCCATCATAACCTGAGGATATGGTAGCTCTAAAATTCTCTTCAGCTTCAAAAGAAGCTGACCATATTGAACAAAAAGTTGTCACAAACAAGTTGAAAGCCATCTTGGATACATAAAATTAGTTTCATGACTGGATCCTGGCCAGAGGATTTATTTTTCTGAGGCAATAATATAATGGAAATCTAAAGGTATTGTGTCCAAAAATATTTACAAGAAGTTCAAAATATTTTTCAGGGCTAGCAAAATGTGTATATACAATGAGGCTTATTATAGATGGCTGTAGAAACAAAGTATTGTTATGTTTCCAATAGGCAGGATCATGGGAATTGACTTTTTTTCATTTCAGGAACCAATTTTATCACACATTTACAAAATCTTGAGTTCTCATTCAAATTATATCTCTGATACCGTGTTTCTCACATAATAAGGCCGGGCCTTATTTTTTTTTGACCCCCGAAAAAACGGCTAGGACGTCTTTTCGGGGGTGACTTAATTTCCCCCCCCCCTTGCATCCTAGGGTGGGCGGGCGGCGACAGCTTGGATGTTCGGGAGACCTTCCGCCACCATTAATTTCCCTTCTCCCTTGCTGCCGTAGAGTTACAGCCACGTGCAGCCAGTCAGGGCTCCTCCCTGCAACCGGAGCCCTGAGGAGACACTTGGCTTCAGGCGCTCCTGTGGCCGCCTTCTCTTTGCCTTCGAAGGTAAAGTGAATTATTTTAAAAACCTCCGCTCATCCTATCAGGGCCGCGCCAGAGCCGTGCGAGCTGAGCAGAGCCGGGAAAGCAAGCCGCGGGTGTTTCCTGGTTCTGCCCAGCCCGTACGGCTCTGCCGCGGCCCTGGCGGGATGAGCGGAGGTTTTTAAAATAATTCACTTTACCTTCGAAGGCAAAGGGAAGGAGGCCACAGGAGCGCCTGAAGCCAAGTATACCAACAACAAAAGGCAAATCCTCAAGGTGGGCTGGAGGGAGATGGCTACGTGCCCCCCGGGCTGCTTCAATGCAAGGTCCTGACTTGTAGCATCCTGCCGTTGCCGCCGCGTCCTTTTCGCCGCCGCCTCCCTCTCCGACTGCAAAACTCGTGTGCTTCGCCAAACGCTCCGAGCGAGGCGAGCTCTTTCATACATAGAGAGAGAGGGAAAGACGCCAGCGTGCTCCGAGAGGCTGGCTCTTTTCTCTAGCCAAGGCTGACAGGAAGTGCCTCCAGGGCCGTGGCAGGCAAGCCGCGGGTGTTTCCTGGTTCTGCCCAGTCCGCACGGCTCTGCCACGGCCCTGGCGGGATGAGCGGAGGGCCCGGCGGGGAGGCACTCGTTGCCTTGGTGACATTTCGGGTGCCTCCGCCGCCTCCTCGCCCATCGCAGGTGGCGGTGGCGGCGGCAAGCGGTGGCGCTTCACTGAGGGAAAAAGAAGACAGCGCAGCCACCTTGCTTGCTTTCCCACCTGCCCACCCCAGATGGCCTCAGGAGCGGCGGCAGTGGCAGCAGGCATGCACACTCCTGCCGGCGAAGGGAGGAGAGGCGAGGAAAGAGAAGGGAGTGCGGCAGCAGCGGCTGTCACAGTATCGTCTCATAGCGGGGCAAGGCTGGCAAGCTGAGGTGGCTGCACCAGAGAGCGTCACTGCCGACCCCGTCGTGAGGATAAAGGAGCGGGATAGAGATTCAGTCAGATGTCAGCCTCGGCTAGAGAAAAGAGCCAGCCTCTCGGAGCACGTCGGCGTCTTTCCCTCTCTATGTATGAAAGAGCTCGCCTCGCTCAGAGCGTTTGGCAAAGCACACGAGTTTTGCAGTCGGAGAGGGAGGCGGCGGCAAAAAGGACGCGGCAGCAACGGCAGGATGCTGCAAGTCAGGACCTTGCACTGAAGCAGCCCGGGGGGCACGTAGCCACCTCCCTCCAGCCCACCTTGAGGATTTGCCTTTTGTTGTTGGTATACTTGGCTTCAGGCGCTCCTGTGGC